AGGAAGCTGCAGTGTGCGAATTTGGCAGGCTGCAGTGTTTGTGAGAAGCTGTGTTTTGTAAAACAAAAAAAAGCTGCAAATAAAAATTGGGGGAAAAATTTCAGGGTGAACAATAAAAAATAGGAACTCCCAAATGTAGATCATAGCTTGTTCTCCCCGTACGTGAGTCCTCGTAACATGTTGATAAATAAAACTGTTATATCTTATCTTATATCTTATGTCATTTGAACACGTGACGCGGACACAGCAGAGTAACCAATCACGTGACGATTAGTAATGAAGCACGTGGCAGGGTAATTCATCTTACCTCCAATCACAGCGGTTCCAACTGAAACCCACCGCACGCCAGACCAGGTTTGTGTGACATTTACGGTGACCTTATAGCACGTCACGTGTAGGTAAAAAGCCGACTGGCCGCGTATAAATAGTGATCTTTACGCCGATAGAAAGCAGTCAACGTTTGATCAGCAAGTCAGGTGGACATCAGGAGCAGCAGCCGGTAAGGTAAGCATATTTATTTATGAGTTGATAAGTTCTCTGAGGACTACGCATCTATAAACGCCGTGTTTAGTATCTAGTTAAGATTCTCGAGTATTTCTCGAGATTCTCAGGTTAGTATTTATACCGTTGAGTAATTGTCAAGAGTGACAGATCGACGTAACCATATATATGTAGATGTGTAGTATTTAGTAAAGATTCTCATTCGAAGCGACGTTTGTTCGATTCGCTGTGATATCGTATTGCTGTATTCTCTACTTTACTGGCTTGCGTATTAGAACCAGGCCTGGCGATAGCTTCGTTCCGTTTCTCGGTGTAGTTAAAGATACAAAGAGTTACTACAGCAAACATGTGCAAGCTAGTCATCCTTCTCGTGGCGGCCGTGGCCATCGCCGTCACTCACGCTCACCCACACTCTCACCCTCCGTGTCCGTCGATGCACGTGCTGAGAGAGTGTAAATGCACCAGCCCCTACAACGGCAACCCTAGCATCGTCTGCGATGGTCACTATATGTCCAGCAGCCAAGCGTTCAGCGTCATGGTGGCGTTGCCTCGTGGCATTACGTATTCTCACATCGAGCTGCATGGGTTCTATGACATGGAGGAGGTGCCCGAGTACGTCTTTGACGCGCTGCACTTTGCAACACGGCTCGCTAAAGATTGATGACAGTCACCACGACGGGGTGGCGCCAGTGCTGCTGAACACTCCTTTGAAAGATGTATCATCTGGAAGAACTCACGCCTTTCCTACTGAAGCTGACTGCTGTAACCAACGCGCTTCGGCCCACCATCATGCGACCACATCGGTTAGTAGTCATTTGTTGTCTTTGTGGTATTTTTTAGCTTATTAATTTAAAGACGGTACATATGTCAACATGAGCTTGCAAGCTCCTCACCGTCAGTGCATAAAATGATACGTTGTTGAATAGCACTTTTAATTAAGACTTGCCCGTAGTGGAGTGTTTAATCTAAGCATGTAACCTGTTGCAGTAAGGTTTAGCCTGAAGGGAAGACATCACCAGGGTGGAGATGACACCTGCTATCCCCACAGAACGACCTCGTCGAAAGTTAAACCTTGCCGAAAACAACCTTGAGTACATCCACCCAAATGAGCTGTGCGCATGAATAACCTGAAGGTACCACCACTGACTGTTCAAAAGAAATTCCAACCGATTCCCAACACTGCAACGCGCTTGTTGCCTCGATTCGATCGGTTGGCCAACACTGACTACGCCGTTACAGGGTTCTGGCATTTGACCTCTGCCTGCCATCCTTTACATACAACCGGGCACCTTTTGGCCACGCGAAAAACCTGGAAACTTCTGGAGCTAGCCGGCAATGGTCTGGTGTCGCTGCAGCCGGGCGTTGTCGCTGGTCTTGCGCCACGTTTGAACATCTAGACTTCACTGGCAGCGATTTGACGTGGATTGCTCCGGGAGCCTTTGATGATACGAAGGCATCCTGTGGTCGATATGCCTAGCCAACACCTCTACTACATCGCAGAGGATGCATTCAGGGGACTGACAGACATTGAAGTGAGAAGGCGAGGGTGTGGGAGGGTGGGTGCATGGGGCAGATTCTGGAAGAGTCGAAGACTCCTGATTTACTGTCGGACCCCCCTGATTTGAAATATTATGCAGGAGTCCGTGTGACTCCCTGAAAATTCTGCCTATACTAACTATGTGTTCGTTCCAGAGAACCGGCCTCGCGGATTTATTTTAAACTTGTTTAAAAAGTGGTGTAAGACAATTCTGATGATATGATGCCTACTATGGGACAGTAAGGATGTAATACTGAATAAGATGGAAGGTGGAATAACTATACCAATGTTCGCTACAGTACATCGACCTGTCTGGCACGCATCTTACGGACGCTCGCAGGAATGTGTTTGACGAAGACCTGATGATCATCATCCATTACCACCATCGACCACAACGACGACCACGTTCATATAGATCTCACGGATAACCCGTTGATCTGTTGCTGCGACATCGCCTGGCCTGACTGTGCATCCATTCTACCCACGGGCACGTGCACAAATGGCAACAACCACGCCATCAGCCTTTCCCACCTGCACCTATCCTGCCCGTAAAATCCCCGGAAGTCGATAGATGGCGCTGACATCGGAGCACGATGACCAATGTTAACTGATTTTTGACTGTTTGTTTACCTGTTGAGTCATGAATCGCTGTTATCGTTCGCTGTGATGAGGAAAAAATCGGTGTCGATATTACAGATATTAAACAGCGGATATTATAATGACACAAACTTCACTTGTTACTGTTTCTCTGCGCTATACGTTAGTAACCTACGGCAAAGCCTGGCGGCTACCTTTATCCGAATTCAGATTGCCTCTTGTGAATTTCGTTAGAATTTGGTCTGCCTTCCCCCACCTTCACACCCAGATACAGTAACATGTGTTTTCCCCCTGGTCACGCGGACGCTCCCACTGTTCGACCACTGGATTCTACGAGTCCCACAAGAACAAACACACAACCTCCGTAGGGAGATGCCAAATTCCGTGGGCGCGGTCGTCGGCGGTGTCGCGGTGCTGTACCTTGCGTTGTGTGCTTCCTCTTCGCGCAGCTCTTCTTTCGGCTCCGCGCCGACTGACTGGCTGACTACCGACTCACTAGCAGCTGCCGGTGAATTGAACTGGCGATGCTCTGGAAAGCGCAGTATATATACGGCCTCGAGCGTCGTGCACGGCTTCAAAACACGTCAATCCTGCGGTCAGGAAAAGGTAGTCAAGCACTCCAGCTTCACACACGTGAAATGCGCCGTCGGCCTCAGACGGTGACACGCACGCCCAGCTTCAGACGTGACCTGCACGTCGGCTTCAGACGTGGACACGCACGCCAGCTTCAGACGTGACACGCACGTCGGCCTTTAGACTTGACACGCACGTCGGCTTCAGCGTCATGAGTACGCACCAGTACCAGTTCGTGTCAAGCACGTGTACATTGCACAGCATGGCGGATTGCGCGCCTACATCGAAGCCCACATCACCCAAGGACGCTGGGCAGACTGCAGGGGTAGAACGCGGCGGATGTGACGCTGCGGCAGACCGAAATTTGTTACATATACTATATATATATATATATATAGCTACTACTCAACAGTAAATGTATAGTAAATAGTTAACGCCTACTACCAATAAACACTTATTAGTGTTAGGACTAGCCGAAGGCGAGGAGACAACACTATATATATATATGCCGTATGTCGTATATATATATATACATAATATATATATATATAATATATATGTTCATTGCTAACTTCGTGTAGCAATTTCTTAACCGAAACTTTTTTATATATACATTTATAATGGCAACAACAAACCATCAAGCTAAATCCCCGTGGGGTAGCTCAGTTGAGCTGTACCCCGTAGAGGCTGTCCAGGCCTCTTCCTCACAAATTTAATATATATATATAATATGCCGTATATATAATTGAAGCTTTCACACGCTTAAAAGCTTACCTTGTGCGTTGCTCCTTTGCGTGGTGATACCATGTCAGTGCGCGTCAACAGCCACCAGCGCTAGTAGTGCGTGTCAGTGGGCTAGTATAAATGCCACTATCATTACAAAATGGCATGTAACCCATAACTAAATTAAAACTAAGCGAAACATTGAACCGATTAGCTTGCCCCTTGCTTGCAATCGTCCCCAAGTGCATGGTTAACAAGTCCCAAATGCGTCGATTTTATGTTTCAATAACATTCAGGACGTTTTCAATTAACTGACAATCAAGGTTTCGCAAATACCATCTAACATTTCCTTTTGAGAGTAGTATTTGGAAATCCACGTGGCGGGCATGTCATGCAAGCGTATTACACGAGACCTCATCGAACGTATAAATGCGCAATAAACTCGAAATTATCCTGCAGTCAGAATTACTTCATCTAAACATCAACACGGACCCTGCCCCGACATTGTAACACGGTGGACGAGTCGGAGGACGAGCAGGTGCGTCGGTAGTCCGTCCATCGACGCTTCTGGTTTCTGCCTAACAATCACGGTGAACGAGCAGGGCGGGCGCGGGGACGTCAGTAGTCCGTCCATCGACGCTTCTAGTTTGCGCCTAACAATCACGGTGGACGAGCAGGGCGGGCGCGGGGACGTCGGTAGTCCGTCCATCGACGCTTCTAGCTTGCGCCTAACAATCACGGTGAACGAGCAGGGCGGGCGCGGGGACGTCGGTAGTGCGTCTATCGACGCTTCTAGCTTGCGCCTAACAATCACGGTGGACGAGCAGGGCGGGCGCGGGGACGTCGGTAGTCCGTCTATCGACGCTTCCAGTTTCTGCCGCGCGAGGGCAGCACCTCCCTGAACGCCCTGCGAAATGTCTTGCTCTGTCCGGCGTAAACGAAGAAGTTAACGCTCGAGCTGCAGAAGGCCATCACGTGTCCCACCCCGCGCAGCATCCCCAGCGGCTCCCGTCGCACCTCGAACACCGTCAGCAGCATCACGGCGAAGTACGGTCCCCAGCAGACGAAGAAGGCGCCGACGACGATGCCGAACGTCTTCGCCAGTTTCAGATTCCTGGCGAGAGCCTCGGAGAAGGAGCGAATCTCCTCCGGGAGCTCCGTCGGCTGCGAGGAACCGTTGCTCGTCGTCGTCGGCGGCAGCGGCAGACGGTGTCGCCTGGCGACGAGCATCATGTACGCGTAGATGACGACGATGGCGACGCCGCAGATGGCGATGAAGACGGCGTCGAGCAGCAGCGTCGCCTTGCCGCTGCTGACGTCATACAGACATGGCTCGTCGGGCGATCAGCTGTTCCCGACGAAGCTGCCGACGCAAACGACGACAGCGAAAGTCCAGCTGAGCTCGATCATGACGGCGACAACGCGCGGGGTCATGACCTGATGGTAGTGCAGCGGACGCGACACGGACACGTAGCGGTCGACGTTGATAGCGATGAGCGTCGTCACGGAGCTGAACGCGAAGCAGGTGATGACGGCGGAGTGGCCGACGCAGACGACCATCGGCGGGCGATCGACGACGAACGTCGGCGGCGACAGCAGGCCGAGCACACCGAGGCCGACGTCGGCGACGGCGAGATTGGCGATGAGCGTGTGCGCCGGCTTCCGTAGGTGCGGCGTGCTCGTCACCGCGTCACGACGACGGCGTTGACGACGATGTTGACGACGTTGACGATGATCAGCGGATAGGCGAACCACTTCGGAATGCCTTCGAGCACGGCGCCGACGTCCGTCGTACCCGCGCTGCTGCTGCCGGAAACGACGCTGTCGTTTTCGAGCGCCGACAGGGAGAGGTTACTCGGAGGAACGTTGTACAATGAAGCCATCGCTCTGCCGACTGCGACGTAGCACGGACGGAAGTGGAAATGCGACGCCAGTGTTGGGAAAACTGTGTGAAACCGTGTCGTATTCAAAGAACTTTTTTGAAGAACACATACGATTTTCAGGTAAATTGGTGGTGTCATGTGATTAAGGGAGAATCATAGACGAAAACAAGGTAAAGTTTGAATATATTTATTCACATATTGATAGAACATTTACAAGTTGAAAACTATGCAAAGCGCTGTTAAAACGGTGTCATACTCTTTTCTATTATGTACTCTTAATATATGTATATATATATATATATATATATTTATTTATTTATTTATTTATAAGTCCATTATGGACGGACATGGCCAACAATATGGCTTAACGCGACGTCGTGTATAATGTAAGGAACGTGTGCATTAGCGCAAGCAAGACTGTCGCACGAACACCGTTCAATCTAACGGCAAGGTCTGCACACTAACTCCGCGGCACCGGGTTAGGACTAGGCCGCGGACGGATGCGTTTGAAATGAAATATGAACAGAGGTCGTGACTTTCAAAAACACTTGCATAACGAATTTTTCAGATTTAGCCCCTCCCAGAGGTGTTAGGGAACAAGGGAACAGGAGCATTGACTTTTAGGTAACAGGGGACATTGTCGAATTACTTTCAGGAAACAAGGGAACTGCTGAATAGATTTTTTGGAACAAGGAAAACTGGTTTTCCATCTTTGGGATTTTTTCACAGTTTTCTGAGACTGTTTACAATAAATGTTGAAGTATTTCAGGGTCATTTCAACATCGTGTGCTGTAGAAACCATTAGGGTCCACAATAAATATTATAGGTCCATTTTCACTCCAGCGTCACCATTTTTTGCTTCCTTTGGGAGTTCAAATTAGTGAGGTTCTACTGTACCAAACAAATATGGGGAAAAGTAGTAAATATTTTTGGGGATTATGGGAACTGGAAAATAAATTTCGAGATCGTGGTAACATAAGGTCAAAAGATTTCAAGGAACAAGTTATTTTATTAATGGGGAACAAGGGAGAAAATGCATAAAAATTAAGGGATCAAGAGAACATATGTACCACTCCTGGGAGGGGTTCTGATTCTACAAACAGACCCCATTATTCGTATCGGACACAGGAATATAGTAAAAGCAAAAGGGTTAGTACTAGGGTTAACCGAGGGAGAGAGGAAACAGCACACTATATATATAGATACATATATTATAAATGCCGTATGTAACTTAAGCTTTCACACACTTAAGTTTACCCTGTGCGTTGCTCCTTTGCGTGGTCATGCCATGTCAGTGTGCGCGCCAACAGCACGTGGCTAGTATGAATGCCACTATCTTGAAAAATTAATGGCATGAAAGAAATTAACTAAATTAAAAATAAACGCAACCTTGAACCACATAGCTTGCACCATGCTTGAATTAGTCCCAAGTGCTTGGTTAACAAGTCCCAAGTGCGTCGCCACGTGCGATGACACTATTTATGTTTCAATTATGGTTTCGCTAATACCTTCTAACATTTCCTTGTAAGAGTAGTATTTTGGTATCCACGTGTCGGGCATGTATTGCCACCGAATTACACGAGACCTCGTGGCGAATGCGCGCTAAACTAGATATTCCACTGCAATCAGAGATCACTTCGTCCTAACATAAACACGGACCCTGCCGATATTCTAACAATCAGGGCGACGGGCTGGGGACGTCGGTAGTCCGTCCATTTATGCTTCCGATTCTAGTTTCCGCCGCGTGAGGGCAACACCGCCCTGAACGCCCTGCGGAATGCCTCGCTCCTTCCGGCGTAGACGAAGAAGTTAACGCTCGAGTTGCAGCAGGCCATCACGGTTCCCACCCCGCGGAGCATGCCCAGCGGCTCCCGTCGCACATCGAATACGCTCAGCAGCATCACGGCGAAGAATGGAGCCCAGCAGACGAAGAAGGCGCCGACGACGATGCTGAACGTCTTCGCCAGTTTCAAATTCCTAAACAGTGCATCGGAGAAAAGGCGAAACTCCTCCGGGAGCTCCGTCGGCTGCGAGGAACCGTTGCTCGTTGTCGGCGGCGGCAGCGGCAGCGGCTGGATGCACCGACGGTGTCGCCTGGCGACGAGCATCATGTACGCGTAGATGACGACGATGGCGACGCCGCAGATGGCG